GGTGGTAGGGGGGCAGCGGTGTCAGAACTGGGTCATTGTCTCTTGACTGCAGTCTACCTGACACATTGATTTGTTAATCCTGTTCAACGGGCAGAAACAATGGCGAGAGGTTAATCCTGGCAAGGGGACGGCTTGTAGTCAATCTGGAGCTTCTCAGCCTGCTCAGCCACTGCACCCACTGAACAAGGCCAAGGGAGCACAGACAGCGGATGGAACAAGGGACCCGGGGTGAAAAGAAAAAAAAAGAAGAAAGAAAAAAAGAAAAGACATTGCGTAGTGACTCATTTGCAAAAGGGTGGGACAAAGATAAAAAGAGAGGAATTCGGCGCTGGCTCGTCAAGAAAGCAGTGCCTGTGGATGTCTGCTCTAAATGGAGAATGGATGTGATCGGACAGCCGAGCCAGAGAGGGAGCGCAGCATGTTTTCAGCGTGCGCTAAATTATGCATCACTGTCATTCCATCAACCGCACACAGGCAGGCAGATAAAGGACGCATCCACCGAGGTGCTCCCCAGCCAGTTGTCACAGACTTGGAAAGATAAATCTCTGGCGAGGAGATTTGTCACCAGAAGCACTACACAGCTCAAGTCAGATGCATAACTATGTCAGTTGAATAAGATTATCTTGATACATCCAGCTACGGGGCTGTTTGTACGACTTTAGAATTTCAATTCATTTTTATTTTAAATCTGCAGACAGCCCCTCAAACCCTTTTATAAAAGAGTATTAAATTATTTGAGAAGGATGGAAAAGAGTTTGAATTACTTTTAAAAGGCAAAATGCCACGGTGAATCTTATCATCCTAACTTATCGGAAAGCTTTAGTTTAATCAGAATCACAAAAAAAGAACCAAATCATAAAAGCTTTCTTATACACATCTTTGGTTTTGCACAGATATCAACTTTCACCCTGTTTGAACTGCTGTTGTCTGCCCCTCAGCCATCAGGACAAGTCACAGTTGACTTTGCCCCCTCGCACCGCCTGTCCAGCCCTTTTGCAGCTGATAACCGTGTGGGTGGGAGCGACAAGTTGCACTAATCTTAGCCAGCCGGGAGCATTTACATGGCACACTGACAGCCTTGTGCAGTGTCTGAATGACTGACTGAGTGCTCATAAAATGTGATAATGATAAGCTTGGGAGCCTTCCCGTGTGTGTGGAAACGTGGCTGGGCAGGACAGCCCCTGCAGGCTTTCAAGGTACTGCACCTCTCACTTCCACTTCTGACACCGAGAGGACGGGAGATAATTGATCAAAGCCGTCAAGGTGATGATGGGCTGGATTCCAGCTCCTGCACAGCTGGGGGAAACACTGGCTCATTTCTTATGAAGTCAGCTGTTAGTCAGAAGCGCTCCACCTGCTGGAACAATGCAGGGAGCGCTCCCGCTTTCTCCTCTATAAGCCTGTTGTTCTCACCGAAGCCGCAAAGCTTGCTGTGACTGTGCCACAGAAACATTCTGTTCCTCTGCCTTGACCCGTGCACAGCGCGATTCCAAAAAGGAGAGGTAGTGGGAAGAAGGAGGGAGGACTGTACAAAACAAATAAATAATGTCATGTCTCCAAGCCACAGGAATTCCATTCTGGCAGCACTGCTCCCGCAGTAATAGTGGAAGAAGAACACAGGCTCTATCTAACCCAGATGCGTTTTCTACTGCTAACCACTGGAAAGTCCTACTCCCACTAGACACTTGAGCCAGCCACCTTTCCTAGCCACACCTGACAGGGTATTAGCTTGCACGTGGACTTCACACGCCCCAGGCTGCCATTAATCTGTTATGCAGAGCAAACCTGAATGTCCAGGTGATGCCTGCAGAGGACTATTTACCCACTGTTTTGGGTTGCTTTACTCCTGCTTTAAAGGGAAGGCTAAAACTGTTTTTTCCACTCTTTTCCTCGAATGGCATTCACTGTGCAGACAAAATGACATGCAGCTTTGATTTTTCTGTAACACGCTTGCAAATAACAGAAACTGTGCCAAGTGCACAGCAGCAAACTTTGAGAAAACCTCTTTAGAATAGCAGTCCACAAGCAGAAAACACACAGCTTTTGGGTGTGTGTTTGGGTAGAAGGAGGGGGAGTGGCTTCGGGTTCAGGGGTCATGCTCCAGTCTGGGACACTTGCTGTATGGAATGCTGAGAGAGGACAAAGCAGATGGGAGCTCTCGGCTGCTGTGTTGGAGGCTGTCAGCAGGCTCCGTGTTACCCCCTCCACACACACACACACACACACACACAC